GTTGTTGGTCCTTAACAATATTTTTTAAAAAATCCACGCCTTGTTGTTGGTCCTTAAAAATATTTTTTAAAAAATCCACGCCTTGTTGTAGGTCCTTAAAAATATTTTTTAAAAAATCCACGCCTTATGTAGGTCCTTAAACAATTTTTTTTAAAGAAATCCACGCCTTATGTAGGTCCTTAAAAATATTTTGTAAAAAATCCGCGCCTTGTTGTAGGTCCTTAAAAATATTCTTTAAAAAATCCACGCCTTGTTGTAGGTCCTTAAAAATATTCTTTAAAAAATCCACGCCTTGTTGTAGGTCCTTAAAAATATTCTTTTAAAAATCCACGCCTTGTTGTAGGTCCTTAAAAATATTCTTTAAAAAATCCACGCCTTGTTGTAGGTCCTTAAAAATATTCTTTAAAAAATCCACGCCTTGTTGTAGGTCCTTAAAAATATTCTTTAAAAAATCTACGCCTTTGTAGGAAGGCCCTGACCTTTAGTTCCTTAAATAAAGCAATTCAGGTCTCCGTCATACCTTCGAAGACCTGACTATTGACTTTGGATTTTTTCTTCTTAAATATCTTCTATGAAGGCTCCGCTCAGCTAGGCTATAGAGTCTCCCTTCAGATGGTCTATAAAAAGTCATTTTCGATCGTCCTGCAATAAAAGACTATTTTATTTTATTTTTGTTAAATTTTATTATTTTTATTTTTTTTTAATATTTACAAAAATATATTTTCAAAATTCTAAATCAATATTATTTTAAAATAATTTATATACAATATTTTAATTTTAATTATTTACATACATATATACACACAAATATATTTACAATTGCATCTTCCATCTCCCTTTCATCCCTCTCTCTCTCTGCCTTACCCCCATCAATCCCTCAACTCCTGCAACAGAGTATTAATTTTATAACTTTTCTTCGAACCCGTATTGATATCATAAAAATATGCCTCAACAAAAGTCCAAAATGGATCCGATGCCTTAGGATATTGTAAATTAAATAAATGAAACGATTTAAAGCAGATATCCAAAGCTTTTAGGAAATTATCAAAAGCTATCAGATTCCCATCCAAATAAACAAAACACTGTTCAATGGTGGAAAATGTTGAATCTCCCACAGCCAATATAAAGGGTTGTATACTCTCGCCCCGTTGCACCAGCGACTCAATATGTTTCTCCAGACCCTGTATTGTCAGATCAACATATAGAAAAGATTCCTGAGAATCTTTCACGGTAAAACGTTGTATATTTTTATTGCCATTGGCATCGCGACGTACAAAGCGGGAGGTAGGGTGGAGATAGGAATGCAGGCACCACAAGGTTTTCAATGCAAATACATCGGGATCTGAAAGGAGGAGGGGGAGATTATTATAATTAGTATAATTTAAATGTTTTAATAAATATTTTTATATTATTTTAAACATTTTGGGTATTTATCTCACCTTCTGTAGAGTGTTTATCCAATATAGACTCCAGTATCCTTTTATTGGAGGCATCCCGCACATTTTTCAGTTTTTTTAAAAATCGACAAAGTTTTTGCATTTTGCCATTCCAGTTGGTAAAGCTGTCATAGTTTTTGAAGAGCTCATTGAAATCCTTGTCGATCTGAAAAAACCCGGAAAAAAATTGCAAAATTAAAAAAAATAGACGAGCAGAAGTTACTCTCTATACGCTGGCTGGATATAGCCTTTATATGCTAGCTTAAGGTAGTCTATAGGCGAGTTAAACGGTGCTCTATAGGTGAGATGGGCTAAAATTAGTTTTTAGAAATGAACAGATGTTCAGGATGCTTTTACTAGAAGAAGAAACCTACATATGTAGAGAATCTGAGGGATGAGAGCCCTATGAATTCTATATAGGGGAACTTAAGAGTGAGGAGGACTCTAGTTCGAAGGAAATATACGAACTGAAAATCAGGGAGCCTTTCGAAGGAAATCTGGAGTTCATACTGTCTTTTATAGAAGAGCAAAGGCCTGACAGTCTTTAATAGAGGGGCTAAAAGTCAGAGGTTCTCATAGGCAAGATGAAGGCCAATGAGTATTTAATAGAGTAGCTAAAGACCTGGGAGTCTTTCCTTGGAAATATGAAGGCCTTGGGGTTTGTAATAAAGGAGTTTAAGGTCACTAAGTTCTGCCTAGACAAGTTGAAGACTCAAGGCATTTACTAGAGGAACTGAAGGCCGTGGAGCTTTTCGTAGGTAAGTTGAATGACAGGAAGTCCTTAAAACATATTCTGAGACTTATGAAGTTTTTCGAGCTGAAGGCCTGGATATCTAAAAGAAGAGATGAAGGCCTGGGGACTTTAATAAGGAAGTCAAGGGGTCTTTAACATAGGATCTTAAGATCGATGTGAATTTCAAAGGCGATTATAGTCATGAGGACTTTAATAGAGGAGCTAACAGACAGGAAATAATTCGAAGACAAGAAAAAGACCCGGTGTCCTTATTAGAGGAGCTAAAGGCCAGGATGTCATTGGTAATGAGCTAGTGTAGAAGCTGAAGGTCAGGAAGGTTCTACAGTTAATGGCTAGAAAGGTAATATTGGCAAGCTTTAAACCAGGGAATATATATATATATAAAGGTCTGGATGTTGATTCAAACGAACCTTGACCCAGGGGAGTATAGAACCTCAATAATATGAGTACAGATCCTATATACGAATACCAGCATGGGTCACATACAGGCCTTATAAAGCTTAGGGCCAAGTATTCCTTCGTAGGCAAGCTCAAGGAAGAGCTTTCGGCCAGATTGTCCTTCGTCTGCGAGCTGAGGTCCATTAAGCCTTTGATAGGTGTGCTGAAGACCTGAGTGACTTTATAGAGAAGCTAAGAACAAAAGGCGAGCTGAAGGACAAGAATTTTTCATAGAGGATCGGAAGGCCCAGGAGTATTTAGTGTGGAAGCTGAAGCTAAGAAAGTTTTTTTCCTAGTGGATCTCAAGGCAAATAATCTTTCGAAATCTATATAGGCGAGCTATAAGCCAGGGAATCTATACGGGACATTAGAAGGCCAAAAATCAAAGGCAAACGCCAAGAGTCAGTAGGATGAAGTAGGCGCGCTGAAGGTCATTAAGACAATATAGCAGTAATAAAGGCGTGGTAGCCGATATATGTGCGCTGAAAGCTTGCGATCAGATCTTTTAGTCAAAAAGTAAGTATAGGTGAGCTAAAAACTAAACAGCCGATATAGCACAGATAAAGATCTGGAGGTCGATTCAAGCGAACTAAGAGTCACGGAGTAGATATTGGCGAGATGAAAATTTAAGAGTTTGATATGGGAGAACAGAATATCAGAAGTTCGATAGGTTCATGGAACGTTTGATAGGTGGGCTGAAGGCAAAAGAATTTTTCATAGAGAAACAGAAGGTAGAAGCTGACGGCCAGGAAGCTTCTCAAGACAAAATAGTTATTCAAAATCTCCAAGGCGAGCTATAGGTCAGGGAATCGATATAGGTGATGAAATGGCCAGTAGGCGTTCTGAAGGCTTGGAAGTTTTTATAAGCCAGCAAGAGGCCATTGAGTCCATATAGCACTAATAAAGACCTGGAAGTCGATGTAGGAGTGGTTGACGTTTTAAATTGATATATCGGATCTGATGGCCAGAAAGTCAATATAGGCGAGCTAAAAACCAAGGAATCTATATAGCTTATATAGACCTGGATGTCGATTCAAGCTAATTACGTGCCAGGGAATAGATATTGGCTAGCTGGAGACTTGGTGATTGAGAACAGATGAGCTTTCGGAAGCTGAAAGTCTCAATGTCTTCAATAAAGAAACTAAAGCTGAAGGCCACATAGTATTTCATAAAGGATCTGAAGACCCCATATGGATGACAAGGAAATTTTTCATATGGGAGCTGAAGGTCAGGTAGTCTTTGAAAGAGTGACTGATGTCCAGCACATACCGTCTTTTATAGAGATATCGATGGTCCAGGGGTCACTCATGGGAAGCTGACGGTCATTAGGTCTTTCAATGGCGATCTGGAGGCTAGTGAGTCTTTCCTAGAGTATCTGAAGGTCTAAAAATCTATCATAGATGATTTGGTAGACGACCTGGAAGGCTGAGCGGCTTCAAAAGAGTAGCGAAATATCAGGAATCTTTCGAAGCCAAGCTGAAGGCCTTCAATCTTTCATATATGATATGAATGTCACATAGATATCCAGGCCAGACAGTACATCTTGGAGCGGTCCAAGGACCAGGGCCTTTCACGAATGAAAGGTCATTAGGTCTTTTAAAGACAAACTTGAGGCTAGTGAGTCTTTTCTAGAATATCTGAAGGTTTACGAGTCTTTCGTAGATAATTTGAAGGTATGACAGATTTTCTGAAGAGGCCGGACAATCTTTATAGAATGACCCACAGGGTCTATAGATTTGTTGAATGCTACACTGTGCAAATTTCCGAAATGGAAGTCAGGGATTCGATATAGTTCCGATAAGGAACCCCCTCTACATCGAGGATCTCCTAAGGCTCTTGAATGGATTTAAGACCTCCTAAGAGTGTTCTAAAAATATATTCTTCGATTTTTTATTAGAAACCCTCGTTTTCATATACTTACCAATTTATACCCCTCCGGTCTCAGATACTGCGGCCACTTCGTCAGGATATCGGTGATATTTTGGCATTCATTGAAAATTTGATTTATGCGATAATTACTGCATGCCTGCCACGTAATGTCAAATTCAACAGAGGTCAGATTGGCATATTTTAGGGTATGGACCCAGGCAGAGGCGTCTTGTTCAGGTACTACAGTGATCCACACACAAAAATAAAAAGGAAAAGAGGTGAGAGAAGAAGATATTAATACAGGCAAATTAGAGAATTATGTAGCATTTTTTAATAAAAATTTACAATTGAAAGGACCTTTAAGGCTTCGAAGGTCTAGACCTTTGGGACCTATTATAAGGACCATAATTTCTATGGGACCAAAATATTCCTTTAAAATCCCTTCGATGTGGAAACAAATCTTGAAAAGTTAATTTTTCTTCTCCTGCCAACCTACCTTTTAATTACTTACCAACTTTTTGGATTTTTGGGGATTTTGGACCCAAACCACCACCCTCTCCACTCTCATCATCCGAAAACACTCGCGTTGATTTCTTTATATTTTGATATTTCGTATATATTCTACCTCTCCTTTCGGTGCGATAAAATTCCACCTTCTCCGTGGGAAACATTGCCAAGATTTCTTTTTCCAGACGATAACTGGTCTGCAGGGACATGTGATAGCTACGCTGGTCGAAATAGCTGCCAATCATGGTGATAATCAAATTACGCTGTTCCTCATTCAGTCGCTTATTTTTCTTATAGGCCTCCATAATGCGATGACCATTACGATGACTGGAGAGTATTTCCGCCACAGTGATTTTCTGTTTATCCATTAGCTCTGGGGATATATCCACTGAGTGCAGCGAGCGATTACTGGGCGATGCAGATCCCGTCGAGTGGGGTGTTAAATTATTTAACGACGAAGGCATGTGAATTGTTAGAAAATCGGGATTTTCATGACTGATCATGGAACTTGTTAGTTGTTCTGGAAGAGGACTGTTGGTGGTTTTACGCACGTTAATGGGTAGATTGATTTCTTCCCGCCATTTTTCAAAATGATAATTGAACAGCACTCGATCACCCATTTTCCAGGATTGGGTGAGCTCTTTAAGTTCTTCGGTGTTCAGAATTTTCAAAACATCGACAGTCATATTTTCATCTGTAAGGGGGAGAAAGATAGGAATTTTTAGAGATTTTTGGTTTAGGAGATATTAGTTAAGGGTTACTTACTTTTTAGGTTGTCAAACAAATGCAGAAGATTCCATCGGGTCAGCAAGCCACGTAGAGCATCTTCGGGAGCTTCGAAGGGGAAGAAGGTGACATCATGTAAATTATCCATACTGAAAAGAGAGGGGAGAGGGAAAATAATTAATAAAAGAAGGAACGAGCTCTTTAAAAAATAGATGACGTTCGAGAAGTTCTCATAGGCGATCTTTAAAATTATGTAATCTTGGATTACAGGAGCTGAAGTTCGGCGAAACTTTTGCACCAGGTGGAAGGTACGAAGTCTATATTGGTAAGTTGGGGGTAAGGAGTCTTTACACGCGAGCAGAATGCTAATGATAGAGGCTATATGATTGCCAGGAAGCCGATATAAGCAATTCTGAAATCTATAAAGGCGAACTGAAAACCTTGGGGGCTATTTAGGGGACACAGAGTCAGGTAGCCTTTGATTTGTGAAGTGAGAGATAGGTAGTCGATTTTGTCAGGTACTCGAAGGTTAGAAAAACTAAAGGCCAGCAAAAGGTCATGGGGTTGATATAGGTCTGATAAAGGCTGGAAGTCGGTATAGGAGAGCTGAAGGCCGGGATATTATTAGAAGGGAGCTTATGACCTCGAAGTCGATATAAGCCAGCTGCAGGCCTGTACATTAAAATTGGGGAGATGTTGTCCGGGGAGCGGCATATATGCGTCATGAAGGACAGGAATTGATATTTAAAAAGCCACGAACCTGGGAATCGATATAGGCGCCCTGAGGCAATATAGGCCAGCAAAATGTCATGGAGTTCATATAGGGTCATAAAGGCCTGAAAGTCGTTATATTAGAGTTGAAGGTCTGGAAATATATATATAAGGGAGCTGATGGCGCTGATATATATAAGGGAGTCGATATAGGCGAAATCGATATAGGAAACCTGAAGGCTAGTGTGTCGAATAAAGTTTACGAAGTGGGGCCAGTGAATCGATTGAGACGAGTTGGTGGCTAGGGTACTGATATATGAAAGCCGAACGTTACGAAGTCGATATAAGCGTTCTGTAAACCACGCAATCGATTTAGACGTGTTATTATTAAGAGATGAATGCTGAAGGTCATGAAATTGATATAGGATCGAAAGGTTAGATAATATAAGTAGGTAGGCTGAAGGCAGACAGAAAGGCAGTCTTTATTAGTACCCCGAAGTTGAGGTACTCTATTTAGATCAACTGAAGACCTGGAGCTCGGTATAGTGAAAAGAAGGATTAGGTATCTATAAAGATGGAGAACAGGGGTGCTGAAGGTGGTCAATAATGGGTAGCCTAGGGTGTTGCCTAATATTGAGCTAAAGGTCAGTGTGTCTTACAGGAAGATCTGATGATCAGGATGTCTGTTTGAAGAGCTAAATACCTAGGAATCTATTTAGACGACCTGAAGGTTAGGTAGTCTGTACAATTGGGCTGAAGGCAAACTGGCTGGTATAGGTATGCTGAAGGTCAGGGATCCTATTTAGGCGAGTTGAAGGTCAAAACCCCTATATAGATTATCTGAAGAGTTCAGGGTGTAAAAAGGCGACTTAGTGGCAGGAAGTCTCTAGGGACAAGGCAAGGGAAGTCATTATGGATATTCTTGAAGACGAACAAGGTTTTAGACGAGTTTAAGTGAAATTCCTTGGACTGAAGTGGAAGTGGTCTGTGGAGAATCCGATTTTTAGGCTACCTTATGGGTAAGGTACCTTTATATACGAACAGAAGTGCTGATATTACTTTTAATAGACAGGTTAAAGGTAGTTTCTTTACCTAAAGGTAGCCTCTATAGACGAACTGAATGGAGCCTAAATAGACGAACTGAAGTGATTATCTGTAGAGGATCTGATGTAAGTCTCAATAGAAGAACTGAAGTGAGAAGTTTGCACAGAATAGGTGAAAGCTTTTTTTGTAGAAAATCGAAGGAAGTCTTAGACGAGCTGAATAAAGTCCTTATAGACGATTTTAAAGGAATTTTTGTTGACAAGCTAAACGGGGTCTCTATAGAAGAGGTAAAGGGCGAGAAGTCGGTAATGAATTTACCCCGACTACAACAACTCTCTACAACTTTTTTATAAAGACGTTTGGGGTTTATATAGATTCTATGCCTTCACTCAGCCTCATCAGCCTCGTCTTTATATTCCCCTCCCTTCAATGTGGGCTTATGGACTTCTACCTCCTGCCTAAAAAGAAGCCCACCATTAAATGATCTCTCCACACACCCAAGATCCTGTCAAGATAACCTCTTACAAATCTGACAGCAACACTCAAAAACAATTCGTATTTACATACAAATATATTTAAAATATTCTACCTTAATCCCCAAGTCTTCCACGGGATTATCTAACAATGATACATATCAGCTAGCCAGCCAGCCCGGGAAAATAAAAATATTCCCAAACCCAAAAACTGAAAATAGCAACATTAATTACCCTTTTCTTCAGATCCACCCCATGGAGTGAGTTCTGGCATCCAACCAGGCGTGTTTTCGAACAAATTTTCCCATAATAATTTTTTAAATGTTGAAATTTCGAAGGACAACCCTCCCCTCGCCAAATGCCTTTGACATTTCGCTGTGCCCAAAAAAGAATTTGTAAATCCTTTTTTTCTATATTTTTATACCCTCGTATAATTCTATAACAATTCTTATGCGACAATTAAACTGTAGGTGGATTCGTTACACCCCCTTCTCCCAGAGTGACAGCACACATTGAGTCGCAGTTCTTGTCGGAATAGTCGTCAAGGGTGTCACCGTGTTTTTAAAGTGTTAGCCTGCATATGAATTGATGTTGTTGTGAGCGAACGTAAGGAATGCATAATTTTAATTTTCCATTGTCCTGATGACAGGACAAATGTATCATAAACGATTATGAGTGACATAAAGCCGCAACAACAACAATAGTTAACTGTTCTCGAGGGTAATATCAGTTGTTTCCTCCCCCTTTGTCTGGATGACTGTCGACTGACTGGCTGGCTGGCTGACAAAAATCCCTTGTCATCGTAACGATGATATTCATCATTTGAAAGATTTATATTTTTAGAGGGTTTTCAAAATGTTTACCACTTGACATTGAATTGTTCATTATGATTATAATCGTCGAGATAATGATGTTTAGGGGTGGGGTGGTGATGATGATGTCGATGATCTTTTGACACACGTTGCTCAATGATCGTCCTATCGTTCCTAAGATTTATTCTTTTTCCTTTGATTTATCTCCCCTCCCTCTGTTGCTAAATTTTAAAGCACCACATGTGGTCCAGAACTTGTTGCCACGGGCTTAACTTCGTGAGATTTTTTTGTGTTGTCTGGTAAATCGGAATTCATGCTGGGAGATTTGTTGTTCACTAAATTTCGCATGCTATTAAAAAAATCCACAAAGAGAGAGTTAGAAGAAGTACGGAAGAAGGGAGTTTATCTAAAATCCTTTACACTTCATAATTTTTACTTAATTTTCTTTTAGATGGCCCTCTACCTGCTTTTCAGGCTTTTTGTGTCGATAATCGGACCTTCAGGTTTCATTCAGCCAGGTTTATCTTCTACACTTCAGTATACAAAATGGCTATAATTTCTATGAAATACATCTAGTTGGTCTATGGGGGCTATCTTCAGGCAGTCTACAGAGATCCCTTCATTTTATCTATTGAGATTGTCAGGGAGGCTATGTACACCCTAACCTCTCGGGTCACTACATCGACTTCCTCATCCATCAGTTCATTATACAGTACGAGTGGCATTCAATTCAGACTTCCTGCCTTCAACTCTTTTAAATGTACATCCTGCCCTTAAGCAAGTCTGAATAAATTCTCCGGATTTAATTTCGATTTCATCTACACCCGGGTCTTCAGTACGTATTTATTTAATTTGCTGGCATTCAAGTTTTCTACATCAACGTCCTGTTTTCAGTTCGCCTATAAAAACTTCAATCCGCCTAATTAGTCCCTGTGTTTCGTCTATAAATACTACTTTTAGCTGGTCTATAGGGGCTATCATCTGTCAGCCTACAGAGACTCCTTCCTTTTTTCTATTGAGACTTTCAGGTCGCCATGGCTTTTAATTATCATGTACAGATTTTCTAGTTTTCAGGTAGGCTATGTACGAGGATTCGTACGAGGCATTAAATATATTGAAGATCCTTTAACGCTCATATTTTTAAGTGGCAATTCTTATCAGAACTTTTTTAAATCCATGAGCCCTATTTGTATGTGTGGACATTGAGGTCCTCAGCGAATCTATAGACCCAAATGACCAGTTTATATAGATCCTCCGGTATTTAGGTCGTTTAAATGTGCCTTGAATTCCAGATAGTCTCCAAAGACTCCTAGCCCTTCGGGTCGTCTATGAAAACTTACTTGGCATTTAGCTTCTCTATAAAATTCTTCAGGCTCTAAGCACGCTTACGAAAAACTCCCAGATCTTTATCTCAGTTGCGACGGAACTTATAAACGGATTCACAACCTTATAAAATAAACCTGGGTATACACATCCACTATCCATCCACACCCAGGACTTCAAACCGCTATCGAGGACTATGAAAGGACAGCTCAAGGACTATGAAAGATTCACTAGCTTTTAGCTCAAAATCCTTGGCCTTCAGATACCAGAAACAAAGCATTGACCTCTCATACTCTACGAAGATCTCTGTAGCCTTCACGTTATAAGGAACTCTCTAGTCTTTAGGTCACCTTTAAGCACCTCCATCCCTTCAACTCTCCTACGAAAGATTTCCAGGCCTTTATATCCTCTATCAAACGCACCAGGCCTTCAGCTGAATTAAGAAAGGAATCCATGACCATCATATACTCTAGGATGAATTCTTTAGCCTTCAGGTCGCCATTGAGGAACTCCTTGGACTTAAAAAACCTTCACTGACCCTCTCACATAAAAATCTTTCTGGCATTAGGCTCCTTCTTATTTATCAGTCTTATGGGCCTACAGATGTGTCATTGAAGATTACTCGGATTATAGCTCGCACTCAAAAGTCGTTCAGGCTTTTATCAACTTTTATATCCTAGTTAGAATTTCCTATCCTTCAACTAGCCTTAGATCCTTTTTTTTTAAAAAATCCCTTCTGCACTTTGATAAAATCGATGACCATTACATACTCTACAAAGGACTCTTTAGCTTTCAGGTCGCCAATGAAGGACTAATTGGCCTTAAAAATGGTTCACTGGCATTTAGCTTCCCTATAAAAAGCTCTCTGTCATTCGGCTCCCTTCTCTCTCAGGCTCCTAAGCATACAAATGCGTTATTAATTAATAGCGAAACGTTGGGCGCCATTTCAGAGGTTGAAAGGGCGAGCTGAAGAAAAAACAGTCTTAAATGGACGATAAAAAACAGATTATTTTTTTAGAATATCCGAAGACCAGGGCATCTCAATATATGACTGTGGAGTTCCTTGCCCCCATCTTCATAGTAGCGATAAAAATTGGGAAATCTCAAAAGATGAGCTGAAACACAGAAAGTCGCTTTCAAAGGCGCCGGGAATCCACATAAACCAACTAAGGTGCGATTTTTTTAAATTAGGGTGCTGCAGATTTTTTGATTTTTTACTTTTGTGTGATAGCAAAATGTTGGGCGCCATTTCGGATATTTGGATTTGAAGGATTAAAATAGGTAAGTTCCTTTGTGAAAAGCACTGTGACATTCGGCTACTCCTTCTGACATAGACTACTAGGTCTACATATGAGTTATTAAAGAATCCTTGGACTTTAGCTCTTAGTTCCTTTTGTAAAGATTCACTGGATTCAGGACTTCTATTTAGAATTTCTAGCCCTTCAACTAGCCCACGAAATATTCATAGTTTTTATCCCTTCTATTAAAAGGGTTTCCTCTCTATGACAGAATACATGGCCATCAAAAACTCTACAAAGGACTCTTTAGCTTTCAGGTCGTTAATGAAGGACTTGGCATTCAGCTCAGCTTTTTATATCTCTCTTTGACATTCGGCTACGCTCTCTATCTCACACTCCTGAGTCTACAGTTGCGTTATAGAAGATTCCTCTGGCTTTCACGTCCAGGCTTTCAACTCCTTTTGTAAAGACTTGCTGGGTTCAGAATTTCTATTTATAATTTCCTGCCCTTCAACTCGTCTACGAAAGATTCCTAGACCATTTTATCCTTTATTAAAGACAATAGACCCTCTGATTGCGTCTATAAGCGAAAGACTCTCTAGCTATCCATCCGTTCGTCTATGAAGGACACCTATGATTAAAAAAACTTCACTGGACCTCTATGCTCCCTCAAGCTTCTAGGCCATTAAAAAAGTCACTGGCTTACAGCTCTCATATGAACGGTCCTGTGGTATACACTTTCTCTGGGAAAGAATTTCTGATCTTCTGCTTGTATTGTCCTTAGCTCGACTCAGACCTTCAGTGCATTTACGAAACACTTCCTATACCTCATTGGGTCTATTTAGATTCTATAGCTTTCAGGTTATCTATATTGACTCTCTCTCCCATTTTTAGAAACTGTATCGTCCTTCAGTCCCTATAAGAAGGATTTTCTCGATATTTGGTTCTTCAATAAGAAGGCTCCTTAAATCGTCTATAAAAGCGACATTCGACTCGTTTATAGGGGCTTCATTAGCTCATCTATAGAGCCAGTCTCTGCTGGTCAGTACAGGAACTGAAAATCGGTTTTATAGACTATCTGCAAGAATAGTTTTATAGAACACCCGGAGAATGTGCAAGAGCCTTAAGCTGGTCCATCGAACCAACTTTCTTGTAGGTTATAAAACTTGCTTTAGCCCTAAAAACATTCCCTCAGAATATCTAAACGGATGGCCACATATCCTATTGAGAAGACTCACAATTTTTTCACTTCGCAAGCGAAAGACTACCTTAATTTTATCATCTCTTTTAAAGATGCTATAGTTTTAGGTATTCTATTCAGATTATCCAGAACTCAGAGGTCTTAAAGTCATGATGAACTTCTTGCCATTAAAAAAAAAATCACTGGCTTTCAGCTCTCATATGAACGGCCCTCGGGTATTCACTTTCTGCTTGAGCTCGACCCAGACCTTCAGCGCCTCTACGGCACACTCCCTATATCTCAGTGGATCTATCTAGATTCTATAGCTTTCAGGTTGTCTATATTGGTTTCCGTTTTCAGAAACTGTATCGTCCTTCAGTTCATATATGATGGATTTTTTTTTGATATTAGGTTCGTCTATAAGGATGCTCTTTAGATCGTCAATAAAAACGACCTCCGAGTCGTTTATAAGGGTTACTTGCCAGTCTTTGCTAGTCAGTACAGGAACGGAAGATTGGTTCCATAGACCAATTGAAATAATGGTTTTATAAACCACCTGGAGATTTTGAAAAAAACCTTCAGCTGGCCCAGCCAGTTTTCGGGTCGGTTATAAAAAACCCGTCTTCAGCTGGTTTAAAAAAACATTGCCTCAGAATATCTAAACGGATGGCCTTCAGCTTGTCTAAAAACATGATTTTTACTCTCTCACAATTTTTTTTAGGTAAATAAAAGTCCTGAAATTTATTCGGCAGCGATTTACCGACGGCTGCGTTTCGATTTTCTTATCAAAGTTTTATAATCCAATTTCATTTTCTTTTATTTGATTTTTTTTGGGTTAAGGTCTCTCTCGGGAGTGAGTCTCTTCACTATATCTCTACTCTACATTTGAGGCGTCATAAAATACTTTTGAAACACTATTACGTACGCATTAGTTCGGGCACATGGTACACGTTCCGTTTGTTCTATTTCATCACGTTGCGGACTTTGTTTCATAACGAGTAATAACATCTCTTCATCACTGTTTATGGGTTTTAGGGTTTCAAATGCCGGCAAAGGATCGGACATAGCGTAGAGGAGGATCAAATATTTCGTTAGATAAGACTAAGGGTTTCAATTTTAAAAACGATATTTTGAACACTTCGGATTGTTTTTTATTCAATTTAATAATCCATTTTGCTTGAAATTTCTTCTTACTTTTGAAATGAAATTCGGAATTGGCGCGCAGGGTAATTTAAAATTTATTCACTTGTTTGCGATCATGTAGAGTTCGCGATATTTTTAATTTAGTTTTTCTTTTTTTAAATCCGACTTCCGACTACCGTTTCCACGAACTGTCAATTACAATCTGACAACTCAGCTGTTGATCGTTCATTCAAAACTTCGGCGAGACAAGTTTTTTTCACTCAATTGAGTCATAAAATGATTAATCCGCAAAAAAGGGGAGGGTTGAAAATAATGATGCAAGGATGTTGCAGCGTCTCGAGCCGGCAGCACGGGAGTAAGGGAGAAAGATTGAGCGAATGAAACACAAGGGGTGGTATTACTAGTCAAGCGAGACAGAGAAAGGGAGAGAGAGTGTGAGCGCTCGAAAATACACCCCATTTCTACTACCGCTGCATTCCACAGCGGATTTGGTATGAGGATTTATTTCAAAGAGTGGGGGTTTCTCTTCTTTTTTGTTAATTTCTCGCATGATTGATTTCATTGTTTTGGTTTTTTAGGTTATGTGTTCTAAGGTCCAAGACATTGCTTTGGTCCGGGAAAAGATTTACTGGAGATTATTACAAGTTTTTTTTTTTACAACACACAATTTCAAAACTATTGGTACACAACATGGCTTAGACAAACATTGCTTGTTTTTTGCTATTATCCTTATTGCAGTACAGGATAAAATCCTGCAGAATGTAGGTCTCTATTTTTTTGCGCTGTTGTTGCTGCAGTGGGCATAAACTATTGAAACGAATTGCCGGACTGCCTAGTTTAAAAAAAAAACGTGTCACACAAATTAATACGATTAAAGAAACACACAAAAATTCTATGCCGTTTTGATTTTCACACTTTTCCGTTCTGTAATGTCCTGTGCATTTTTTATTTGTGCTAATTCATGCACGTTTTGCAGGCAACAGTAAATTTTTTTTGATAGATGTGTGTGTGTAAGTGTTCGTTTTTTCACTTCATTAAAATAGGGGTGTTGTGCGTTGATTTTTTAATAGACTTCCCAATTTTTTTTTTAATTTCAAGAGTTTTCAATTATTCTTGTCATTTGGTTTGTTAACAAAATTTAGTTATGCTTGCCAGGATATTAAAAATGATATCCCGACCTGAGGTTGAAATATCATAATCCATTATTAAACACTTGTGCTGTGTGTGGACAAAAGGATGATGTCGAGTGATGAGGATAATTAGGTGTGAATTTTTAAATTAAGCAGCTGTAGATTTTTTGAAGTGTTTTTGGTTTGTAGAAAAAAAAACGTTGGGCGCCATTTCAACAAGGGAGTTGCAATAGACGATTTAGAAGGCAAAAATTGTCTAGAATTGAAAGAATTCCTAGAATAAGAACTCGAGAGTAATAATTTGGATAGTGAAACGTTGGGCGCCATTTCAGTAATTGAGTTTTAATCGATGATTTACAAGGCAAAGAGTCTTTTTACAAGATATAGAGTCTCAAGACTCGAAAGAATTCGAAAAATAAGAACTTTAAAGTAACACTTCGATAGGAAAACGTTGGGCGCCATTTCAGTAACTAAGCTTCTAAAGACGATTTACAAGACAAATAGTCTCTAGAGAAGAGCTGAAAATTATAGTGTATTAATAAATGTGCTGGAGGTCAGGGAACCACATAGCCGAGCTAAAAATCTGGTTGGGACTATTTGTTTTGTAAATCGTCTATAGGAACTCAGTTCTTGAAATGGGTTATACATAAAAAAATTGTGAAGTCTCATGAACTGATCTGTCGAGAATTGAGAAACCCTGTGGTGTAAATTGTTTAATTAATCCAATTGTATTTAAATTTGTTACATTAGGTTGGTAGTAAGACGTTGGGCGTCATTTCCGAAAAATGATAAAGTTTTAATGGACTATTCCGTAGACAACGAATCTCAAGAGAGGTACTGATGATGTCTTAATAAATGAGCTAAGAATCAAGGTGCCATAGTCGAGCTAGATTTAAGGCACACTTTAAAGATGGGCTGGAGTTTGGCTCTTCTCTAAATACGAGATGTAGAATCAAAATACCACATAACCAAGCGTAGTTTTTACTCATTAGACAGTTGAATTTTTAATGAAATGCCGTTATAAGGTTAGACAACGTTGGGCGCCATTTCAGATATTAGAGGTCGAGCTGAAGTACATGGAAGGAGTGAATATTATTTACAACGACTTAAAGGAGTTTCTATAGAATAACAGACTAAGAAAATCTCAAAAGGTGAGCTGAAGGGCGAAAAGTATTTTATAAATTGTTTAATTTGTTTGATAGAGAAACGTTGGGCGCCATTTCAGATATTGAAAAGCAAATTGAAGGTTATGAAAAAAATTAATGAATTAGGTCTAGAATGATGTGTGCAAAGTTTCGTGGAAATCGGTTCAGATTTAAATATAGCTCCCATATATATTTTCGTCCGATTTAATGTAAATGGGCCACCAAAGTCCCTATATACCTTTCGATTTGCACGAAATTTGGCACAGCGTGTGTGTTAAGTTTCCTGAAATCGGTTCAGATTTAGATATGTCTTCTATATCTGACCAAAAAAAAAATTTAGTATCGGTTGCTGAATGAAATGTTTGTGGATCCAATTACATTCCTTTAAAAATGCGACGTCTGTTAGGATTCATCTGTTGAATGTACCCAAAGTGGTGAAGGGTATCATATAGTCGGCCCCGTCCGACTTTACTACTTTCCTTACTGGTTAAACTTATAATTCTGGTGGCAAAACTACTTGACGCCATTTCAGAATCTTAACGACAATGCTTCTCTATAGAAGAGCATCTACAGACGACTTGAATGTAAGGAGTCTGAGAAGGGACCCAGATGGTTTCTGTATTAGCGAAAACATTGAATCCCTAAATGTACGCTGTAAGTCTTTATTAACAAACTAGTCTGAGAGAAGGTTGCCGGGGAATTTTTGTTAACCAATTATCGACAGGCAGATTTTAAGGGGGAGATACGTTAAGATGACCTAAGGGGAAGTTAGTCTATTGATTTATATCGAAGGTCGTAGAGGATCTATATGCGACTAACGGGATTGAAATCTTGATCAACTAGCAGAATTAGAGGTAGGTGCATAAAGCCTTTTCTAGGTGGACTGGTGGTAGAAGTGACCAGTAACCAAACGAAGAGCGGTGAGTATCTGTAACCCCAGATTCGAATGAAAGGTATTCCTATAGGGAAGGTAGACCCTATAGGCGGTATGGAGTTTCAGAAATTGAAAAAAGTCAGTTGAGCAATATAGAAGATTTGGAGGTCAAGGAGTCGATAGCTACGAAATAAAAGGTGTCAAGACAAGGTGACCACTAACGAGCCGAAGATAGAAGAGTATTTATAACCACAATTCGGAATTAGAGGTAGCCTTATGGGGTAGATATTTTCGATCATTAGTGTTAGACGCTGAAATAAGTCAGTTAAGCTACAAAGCAAGGAGTCTGTGCAGACGAGGCTCTAAAGGCACATAAACGTATCAGATATATGCAAGCGATCTAACGAGAAAGTCGGAACGTTGTTCCATTTTTTAGTGGCGCCCAACTATAAAAGTTTCTTATTAGAAGTCAAAGGTCCAACGTCAGCCCTTTAGAAAGTCCAGTTCCGAGAAATAAGTACTGGTATTTTTAAGTGGCACCCAATAGGTATATTAACACTAAACGGTTTATCGTAATCATTCCCCAGCAGTTTTGAATGCCAGATGGTGGGTCTGTAAATCACTTTGACATTTAATTTAAAATTTTATAAATTAATTTTTTAACGACTTTTTTACAATACCTTTTCTATAAAAAAACAAACTTATCTAAAACTTTGTAGACTTGAATTTAAAAATTCCAAAACCAAACTCTTATTTTTTGTTGCTGTTCCCTTCTAAAGTCTTTTTGAGGCTTGTGTTGTCAATTAAAATTGGTTGCGGTTTTGAAAAAAATTCACACAATAGAACGCTCACGAACAAATTTCCATGTAATCTAAATACACTTGTCAAAGTAGTGACATTTATCCCTCCGACACTCTTCCCCTTTGGCTAGTCAGTCATTCAGCCATCATTTATCCCGCCAAAGGCAGTGTTCCTTTGCTACAAAACAATCGAACGCCTAGAAGAGCGAAGAAAAATAGATTTTCCTTCGGAACAGAAAAAGTGTGAAAGAATCAATTGTCACAAAACATTTTGTCTTGCCGTCAGTCAGTCAGCCATTGTCATTGACGGCATCGTCAATTCATTTATAGGCAGCGAGCGACAAGTGAAGCATCCTATGACACCAACAACAGTAAGGACAGCAACAAAAAAGAGCCAAAGAATCTTGAATGTCATTGTAAATGGCACTTCCACTATCCTCAAAATGGATGGATGATAGCATGGGATGAATGAACGTAAAGGGAGAGAGATATATCGAGAGAGATGGTAGGAGGTTGAGTACTAAGAAAAATTAGTTACACTTCATGGATGAAACTGAATAGAAGGAAGAAACAACACAACAAAAAATGTGACAAGAAAAGAAGGCGCAAAAATCATAATTTATGACAAAAGCTCAGAGAATGCATGACTGACTGATGGAATGAAAAAATGAATGTAAAAAAGGAGAATTGAAAAGTCAGACAAAATAATGTTTTTTTTTAATTTCTATAAAAGCCGGAATATGATAGAGAGGAAGTAAACAGAAAACATAATTCTTGAATTTAAATTTGAAATTTAAATTAAAAAAAAAATTAAATTTAAATTAAAAAATTTCAAAATTTAAATTTTTAAAGAAAACCTTTGTGACGTCATCTTCAAAACCGAGTATCCTTTGTTTTCATTTATTGCCTACAAATTACCCCCGGCCTCCCTTTATTTCATGTCTGTCGCTCCGTCTGCCTTTTGACCACATTG